TCCATTATCATCAATAGATAGGTCATCCAAACAAAAATCAATAAAGAAATCCAAGATCTAAAATATGCAATAGATCAAGTGGACCTAGTAGATGTCTACAGAACATTTCATCCAACCTCTACACAATATACATTCTTCTCAGCAGCCCATGGAACCTTCTCCAAAATAGATCATATCCTAGGGCACAAAGCAAGCCTCAGCAAATATAAGAAAATAGAAATAATACCATGCATACTATCTGACCACAATGCAGTAAAAGTAGAACTCAACAACAAAAGTAAAGACAAAAAACATGCAAACAGCTGGAAACTAAATAACTCATTACTTAATGAAGAATGGATCATCGATGCAATAAAAGAGGAAATTAAAAAGTTCCTGAAGTCAATGAAAATGAAAACACAACCTACCGAACCTATGGGACACAGCTAAGGCAGTCTTGAGAGGAAAGTTTATAGCCATGAGTGCATATATTAAAAAGATTGAAAGATCCCAAATCAATGACCTAATGATACATCTCAAACTCCTAGAAAAACAAGAACAAGCAAATCCCAAAACAAATAGAAGGAGAGAAATAATAAAAATAAGAGCTGAAATCAACGAAATAGAAACCAAAAAAACCATACAAAGAATTAATGAAACAAAAAGTTGGTTCTTTGAAAAAATAAACAAGATCGATAGACCCCTGGCAAACCTGACTAAAATGAGGAGAGAAAAAACCCAAATTAGTAGAATCAGGAATGCAAAAGGGGAGATAACAACAAACACCATGGAAGTCCAGGAAATCATCAGAGACTACTTTGAGAACCTATATTCAAATAAATTTGAAAATCTAAAAGAAATGGACAGATTTCTAGATACATATGATCATCCAAAACTGAACCAAGAGGAAATTAATCACCTGAATAGACCTATAACACAAAATGAAATTGAAGCAGCAATCAAGAGTCTCCCCAAAAAGAAAAGTCCAGGACCTGATGGATTCTCTGCTGAATTCTATCAGACCTTTAAAGAAGAACTGATACCAACCCTCCTTAAACTGTTCCATGAAATAGAAAGGGAAGGAAAACTGCCAAACACATTTTATGAAGCCAGTATTACACTTATCCCAAAACCAGGCAAAGACACCTCCAAAAAGGAGAACTATAGGCCAATCTCCTTAATGAACATTGATGCAAAAATCCTCAACAAAATAATGGCAAACCGAATTCAGCAACACATCAAAAAGATTATTCACCACGACCAGGTAGGCTTCATCCCAGGGATGCAGGGGTGGTTCAACATACGAAAATCAATAAACGTAATAAACCACATTAACAGAAGCAAAGACAAAAACCACTTGATCATCTCAATAGATGCAGAAAAAGCCTTTGATAAGATCCAACATCATTTCATGATAAAAGCTCTAAGAAAACTAGGAATAGAAGGAAAGTTCCTCAACATTATAAAAGCTATATATGACAAACCTACAGCCAGCATTATACTTAACGGAGAAAAACTTAAAACCATTCCCTCTAAAATCAGGAACCAGACAAGGATGCCCACTATCTCCACTCCTATTCAACATAGTACTGGAATTCCTAGCCAGAGCAATTAGGCAAGAAGAAGGAATAAAAGGAATACAAATAGGTAAAGAAACTGTCAAAATATCCCTATTTGCAGACGACATGATCCTATACCTTAAAGACCCAAAAAACTCTACTCAGAAGCTTCTAGACATCATCAATAGCTATAGCAAGGTAGCAGGATATAAAATCAACATAGAAAAATCATTAGCATTTCTATACACTAACAATGAGCAAACGGAAAAAGAATGTATGAAAACAATTCCATTTACAATAGCCTCAAAAAAAATCAAATACCTAGGTGTAAACCTAACAAAAGATGTGAAAGACCTCTACAAGGAAAACTATACACTTCTGAAGAAAGAGATTGAGGAAGACTATAGAAAGTGGAGAGATCTCCCATGCTCATGGATTGGTAGAATCAACATAGTAAAAATGTCGATACTCCCAAAAGTAATCTACATGTTTAATGCAATTCCCATCAAAATTCCAATGACATTCATTAAAGAGATTGAAAAATCTACTGTTAAATTTATATGGAAACACAAGAGGCCACGAATAGCCAAGGCAATACTCAGTCAAAAGAACAATGCAGGAGGTATCACAATACCTGACTTCAAACTATATTACAAAGCAATAACAATAAAACAGCATGGTACTGGCACAAAAACAGACATGAAGACCAGTGGAACAGAATAGAGGATCCAGATATGAAGCCACACAACTATAACAACTTATCTTTGACAAAGGAGCTAAAAATATACGATGGAGAAATAGCAGCCTCTTCAACAAAAACTGCTGGGAAAACTGGTTAGCAGTCTGCAAAAAACTGAAACTAGATCCATGTATATCACCCTATACCAAGATTAACTCAAAATGGATCAAGGATCTTAATATCAGACCCAAACTCTAAGTTGATACAAGAAAGAGTAGGAAATACTCTGGAGTTAGTAGGTATAGGTAAGAACTTTCTCAATGAAACCCCAGCAGCACAGCAACTAAGAGATAGCATAGATAAATGGGACCTCATAAAACTAAAAAGCTTCTGTTCATCAAAAGAAATGGTCTCTAAACTGAAGAGAACACCCACAGAGTGGGAGAAAATATTTGCCAATATACATCAGACAAAGGACTGATAACCAGAATATACAGGGAACTTAAAAAACTAAATTCTCCCAAAACTAATGAACCAATAAAGAAATGGGCATGTGAACTAAACAGAACTTTCTCAAAAGAAGAAATTCAAATGGCCAGAAAACACATGAAAAAATGCTCACCATCTCTAGCAATAAAGGAAATGCAAATTAAAACCACACTAAGATTCCACCTCACCCCTGTTAGAATAGCCATCATCAGCAACACCACCAACAACAGGTGTTGGCGAGGATGCGGGGAAAAAGGAACCCTCTTACACTGTTGGTGGGAATGTAGACTAGTACAACCACTCTGGAAAAAAATTTGGAGGCTACTTAAAAAGCTGGACATCGATCTACCATTTGATCCAGCAATACCACTCTTGGGGATATACCCAAAAGACTGTTACTCCAGAGGCACCTGCACATCCATGTTTATTGCGGCACTATTCACAATAGCCAAGTTATGGAAACAGCCAAGATGCCCCACACTGACGAATGGATTAAGAAAATGTGGTATCTATACACAATGGAATTTTATGCAGCCATGAAGAAGAACGAAATGTTATCATTCGCTGGTAAATGGATGGAATTGGAGAACATCATTCTGAGTGAGGTTAGCCTGGCCAAAAGACCAAAAATCGTATGTTCTCCCTCATATGTGGACATTAGATCAAGGGCAAACACAACAAGGGGATTGGACTTGAGCACATGATAAAAGCGAGAGCACACAAGGAGGGGTGAGGATAGGTAAGACACCTAAAAAACTAGCTAGCATTTGTTGCCCTTAATGCAGAGAAACTAAAGCAGATACCTTAAAGCAACTGAGGCCAATAGGAAAAGGGGACCAGGAACTAGAGAAAAGGTTAGATCAAAAAGAATTAACCTAGAAGGTAACACCCACAGGAAATCAATGTGAGTCAATGCCCTGTATAGCTATCCTTATCTCAACCAGCAAAACCCTTGTTCCTTCCTATTATTGCTTATACTCTCTCTACAACAAAATTAGAGATAAGGGCAAAATAGTTTCTGCTGGGTATTGAGGGGGGGAGGGGAGGGGGTGAGTGGGTGGTAAGGGAGGGGGTGGGGGCAGGGGGGAGAAATAAACCAAGCCTTGTATGCACATATGAATAATAAAAGAAAAATGAAAAAAAAAAAAAAGAAAAATTGGCTAGGGTTCTCCATCCTGGAAAAGGCCAGACAAGTGACAGATGTTTTGTCTTCTGACTGCATCAGGGCCAACCTTCTGGTTGTGATACTTCAGAAGTTTCCCAATGCCAGGGGAAGGTGTGGGGGCAGGGAATGTGTACACAGACAAACTCTATCATTTCTTATAAATGGACATGACTCTACAATTACCTCAGAGCAAAGGGTTGAAGTAAAAACCATATCTGTATCTTATTTCTGGTTTTCTGAATCAGATACGGAGCCATTTTGCAAGGGATAATGCTTCCAAAGAGAGATCAGTGTGAGCTGACAGGAAAACTAAGAACAAAAAGACCCTTGATCCCTGCTGTAACCGGGGTTTACTTGTACTACAGCTCTTTTGAGGGCTCTGCCTACCAGCCAGTGCTATCTAGGAGCAGGGGACAGAGTGCCACACACATAGCCATCATACCTGTCTCTCACTGCAGTTTAAATACTGGTGGGGAGACAGCAAACAAACAAGCAGACAAGTGAAATAGCTGTAGCAGAGCTCAGGGCTCTGACGCATCCAAATGAGGATGGACACAGGGCTGCCCGGGGGGCAGGGAAAATGTTGGATGGCCCTTTGAGCAGGGGAGGGTCCATCTGAGATTCTCCAGCCAAATAAAACGGAAGGAAACACACTTAAGGGAAAGCAAGGAGAAAGGTCCTGACATGGAAGCCAGTCTGGCCTGCTCCAGGCCAAAAGGGTGGCCAATTGGTTGGAGAGGGTTGACAGGGGGACAGAGGTATGACAAGAGATCAGAGCCATTGGCCAGGGCAGACTACACATCCCACCTCCATGAACAAAATAATCTCATTTAATTTTATCAAAGTGTCTTTGGTTTCTGTTGCTAAATCTTAGATTTTAAAAATATACCATTAGAATATTTCAGAAGCCAAAAGAAACTCTCAAAGGCACAGGAAGTTTAATTTCAAAGTTATTGCTAATGCTTATTTCCAAAAATTGATTCATAAAAGAACATGATGTAAAATGATACTGACTTCATTCTTTTTCTTTAATTTCAAAACAAGTAGAGGCTTTTGAGGGGCAATAGAAGTCATTCTAGACAACCAGGAAATCACATCAAAATGGTAAGCAATTCAATTTTGCACCTACGTATAAATGATACCGTAACTGTGCATTTTAGGGTCTTCCTCTTCAATTGAGAACCTATGCCACTGCTCCTGAGGTCCTTGACGTTTTGCTTTCTTTTCCAGATCCCAGTATAATTCAATGCTGTGATGAGTCACTTTGCCCACAACAGGTGGATGAGGCTTTGAGGATGGCGTGATTTCTAAAAAAGGAATGACAGAGGACTTTAGGACCCCAGAAGAAGGGCTAGCTGAGTGGATTCTAGCTACTCAATGATTCAACTGTTTCCTGTACATCAGGCACACAGGGGTGTTGAAGAACACCTGAAAAGCTGAAGGGATGCAAAACTCGGCTGGCTCATTGAGTTCTCACTTCCTTGCACAGGCAGACTACACCAGGCCCATCAATATTGAACTCCAATCATGGGCCCTTCCAAAAGGTGGGTTAACATATCAAACTAATTAGCTTTCTGTTTCAGCTGATGAAATTCAATTTGCTGCCATAATCCTTCAGTGAACTGACTAGTAGACACAGCCAAGAGACAAAGGCCCAAGTTTTTATAATGCAGATGAAAAAGGGTTGACATCTATTCTATATAAATAGTTCTTACAAACCAAGGCATAAAACAAAATCTAATCCTAATAAAGGTAAAAAATGAGCAGTGGACAAGCTAGCAAAAACAAATAGCCAACAATAAACATGAAAAGATGTTCAGATTCCACGGTGTTCATGGAAATCGGTAGCAATGAGCTGTAACTTTTTGACTAGTCAGACACTTAAAAGAGATATCACTATTAGTAGTGACAACCTAGGAAGAAGCTAACTTTCATTCATTGGCTGTGGGAAAATATGAATCAGAGTCTTTTTAGGAAGCAATATGACAGCAATTACTGAAAGTAAAAACACACACACCCTTCTACCAGGCCTTACCAACTTTAGTAACTTCTTCCACAGACATCAGAGCACTAGTGAACACAGAGACACAGATATAAGGACATTAGCTACTATTAGCAGTTTACAGCAAAAAAAAAAAAAATACCCATTAAGAAGGACATTGGCAAAGAAGTTATGATTTGTGGATGTATTATGTAATGTTACATAGCCTCTTAAAGAGAACTAGTTCTGTACAAGATGCTTTGAGAGGGTTTCCATAAGGTGCTGTTGGATGAGAAACCAAGGTACAGAGAAAACACAGAATGTCCCATTTTTGTAAAAGATAAGGAGACCGGTACAGTACATACCAAATTGTCTAGCATTGCAGTGGTTCCTTTTATGGGCTTTGTCCGCCTGCTGCTTCTGGAGTTTCTTAGGTTTTTAAATTTCTCAGTCCATGTCTTCCGCTCCTTTTGAAACCTCTCCCTGTGCCTCAGTACTTTTCAGGCCCCAAATATGTCACTGATTTACCACATTGGTCATTCAAAAAGAAAAGATTTTGTATTGCCCTTGAAGCTGGCCAGATGCTCTCTGAAGACCCTGCGACCTCTACAGTCCACTGAAGAAGACAAGGCTGCCCTGGTCTTGCCTGCCTCAGGTCAGCAGGGCCCAAGCCAACAATTCCCTGTGCATTGAGATCCCAGAGCAATGTGAAGAGACAGCTTGCAAGCTCATATTTCCTAACTTAATTTTCCAAATATTTATAGAAAGCATGGTGGAATTGAATCAACCTGGATTTGAATACATGCTCTGAAACACAGCCTAAAATACTTTGGAAGTAGTTGTGATAATTAAATAACATGTAAAAAGCATCTAAATTTTGGTATCTTTCATGCCTGAAATTCCATACTGTAGCTAAAAGGAACTAATTCTATATGCATTGACATAGATAAATCCCAAATGACAAAAAAAAAAAAACACAGTTTGCAAAAGGAAACATTAAGTTTTTACAATAAATAAACAGTACACATTATTTATGACTACTTAGATAAGCAGACAAAGTTGAAAACACAGAGGGCAAGAAGTATACAACACCTCAGATATGCACTGAAAGGGACAGAGACATGATGGGTGCAAAAAGAAAGGTGTCTCACCATTCTGTCTGTAAATTTTTATTTCATTATTATTTTTTTCTGGTAGTACTGGAGTTTGAACTCAGGGCCTTGTGCTTGCTAGACAGGTGCTCTACCATTTGAGCCATACCCATAGCCCTTTTTGTTTCCATTATTTTTTCTAATAGGGTCTTGCATTTACGCCTGGGCCAGGCTGGACTTTGATCCTCCTATTTATGTTTCCTGCATAGCTGGGATGACAGGTATGTGCCACCATACTTGTTTCTATTGGTTGAGATGGGGGTGGGGGTTGAGATAGGAGATCCTCTGCATCTCTGCCTCCCGAGTAGTGGGGATTACAGGCATGAATCACCACACTCAACAAGGTTTTATTTCTTTATGAAAAGAACTTTGAACATATGTGGCAAAATGTCCACATTTCAAACCTGTATGATATATTGGGTGCCTTACTTTCATTTTAGTAGGCTTGAAATATTAATTTCTGAAAAATAACTATAAAAATAAATACTACACATTGTTCTTATGGGACTGCTGGCTTTCTCAGAGAAACCAATTCCAGTGTTGTAAATATAAATTACCACATGTGGGGAAGACACTAACAAGCCAGACACTGACTTTCAGCATGAGTCATCTCATTTTATCCTGGCAGTCCTGGCTGGCAAATGCAGTGACTCACATTGGCACATCAAGACACCATGTTAAACAAGTCACTTTGTTTTCAGAGCCCTCTGAAACCAAAGGCCAGGATAGGCAGATGATAACAGAATAGCCCCAGCATAACAAGAGGCCAACTCATGTTTCAGTTCCAAAGACATCCAGCCTAGAATCTCACTAGAAATCAGGACAAGCAAGAAATTCTAAATTAATGTCAAATCTTGGAAGGGACCAGCCAAATGGCTCCTCATGAACCTATATGAGGATCAATAGAGCATTAACTTCTCGGGTACACTATTTTCTCAGGCCTTGCTCTTCGCTTGTCTATGATACAGGCAAACAAGAGACCTCCTTCAGTCAGTTTGGCAACGCCACAACCATCTTCTGCCCCAAGGCCTATCCTCGAGCTCACTTAAGGCTGCTGGGTCATGATTGAGTGGGAGCCCTCACTGCTCATCATCCCTCCAGATCCCAGACAAGCTGTAGGTGTGGAAGTTCTGTCATTATTATTCACTCAATTGGTTTTTGGAGTGATCCAAATGTAAGGGCACCACAGCCTCTCTAATTGCACTAGGATGAGTAAAGCCTTGTGCCTGCACACCAGGTAATAGGAGTCACATGATTTTGCCATGCCCTGTCACTGACCACCAATGACCTTCTCCATTGTCTTTTACTCTGATACAAAGCTTGGCAAGATGCTGAGGCCCACTTGGGCAAGAGCTACTTTTGCAGAAAGCTATAATGCCAGACAGGACCTGATGGTCCTTTTATCTTTTATCAGTAGAAACACTCTTAGGAACTGTTTTCATAAATTTTGCACACGTTTCGTAAGATATATACAACACAGGCCACCAATACACATTGGTAGACACAATTTGCATGCTGTGTTTTTATATAAAAAACTTTTCTTTGGTGGTACTGGGGTTTAAACTCAGGGCTTTTCTAGGCAAGCACTCTATGGCTTGAGCCATGCCTCCAGTCTTTTTTTCTCTGATTATTTTGAATAGGGTCTCACTTTTTGGCCCAGGCCAGCCTGAAACCACCATTCTCCTGCTTTACACTCCCAGCATAGCTGGGATGATAGACTTACACCATCACACCCAGTGTTTTTTTCTGTTGAGATGGCCTCACAAACTTTTTTGTCCAGACTGGCCTGGAACTGTGATCATCCAATCTCAGCTTCTTGCATAGCGTGGGATGACAGGTGTGAGCCCGGTGCCCAGCATACAAATTTTAAAGCTCTATTTTTTTTCCTGGCTTTAAGTATCAGATCTTTTTAAAGAAACTTTTGCTTGTTTAAGTCTAATAACCAGAGTGAGTCACATATTCTAATATCACAAACTAAGACCTAAAGTTTATCTTTAGATTACCAACAAAATAGAAAAACAAGACCTTACTTTCAGTTTTGCATGGTCCCTTTAAATAATTGGGAAGATCTTTTAACTTTTCTTATCTTAAAAGTTTCACAAAAAATGCCAGGGTATAGCTCATGGCTTTAATCCTAGCTACTTCGGAGGCTGAGATCAGGAGTTATAGTTTGAGCCCAGCCTGGCAAATAGTTTTCAAGACCTGATCTCCAAAATAACCAGAGCAAAATGGACTGGAGGTGTGGCTCAAACAGTGTCTGCTTTGAAGCTTCAAACCCTGAGTTCAAACCCCAGGCCCACCAAAAAAAAAAAAAAAAAAGTTTCTCCAAAAAGGAAAAAAACAAAACTACAAGTACCTCAAAAGGACTATTATATGAGAGCCGATGTATGTGTTATGTACCAAAAAAACTTTCTGTAAGAAAATTCTTATGCAAATCTGACAAACAGAACAATTTAACTGCTGGTGCCATTTGTTGAGTAATAAATGTGAAAAGTGAAGGACTTCAAACACTGTCACCATTCAGTCATCCCTGTGGTTTCTCGGGAGATGGCAAAAACCATGGCTCTTGAGTCATAAGAAACTCATAAGACAAGGCTGCTGCTGACAAACTCTAAGTTTAGATGTGGAAACCAGAAAGTTTAAGTAAGCCACTCTATGACATTAGGCCTCAACATCCTGTTTCCAGGACTTTAATAATTAACACAACAGAATTGTGCCAAGTCCATAAAAGAAAACTCCAGAGACAACTTAGGAAAAATATCAGATTACTAAGTATCCCTATGATAACCAGTTGACCATATTTCAAAACCTGCAGGTGGGAGTGGTGGCCATGCCTATAATCTCAGTACTCAGGAGTTTGTAAGACAAGAGAATTGTGAGTTCAAGGCCAGCCTGAGTTACATAATGAGATCCTGTCTCAAAACAAACAAAAAACAAAACCAACAGAGAGAATTGCTGATCAACTATGAGTTTGAATTAGTAACTGGATTAGTATCATGAAAAGAGGGAGATTATGAAGAGAAAAAGCAAAAGCTTTGGTTCATTATATAAATATAGAAACCATAGCACAGAACTGCTATTTTCCTGCTCTTCAAAAAAATACACCTGAAAGCTTACTGAAGTCAGATTTCATGATGAGGGCCATGTGCAACCTGGCCTCTGGTGGCAGATGGCC